AAAAAATTAAGTTTCTGGGCCCTCGCTGGTGGCGCAGCCAGTTAAAGTACATCACTAAGAAGCTGAAGCTACTTCAGCATGAGTTCGATCCCTGCCCCAGAGGTGATCCACTTGGCATCGCAGGCCTCTCCTGACCCATCTTCTGCTCCCCTCAGCAGTGTACTTCATCAGTCAGCCTGTTCTGCTCCCCACTCTGTCTCTGATGAAACCTCTCACCGCCCCTGCACCTCTGGCCTATACCCCAGTTCTGTATGCATAAATAAATAATAAATCTTTTTTTAAAAAATTAAGTTTCCAGGACCCTCCTTGATGGTGCAGGGGGTTAAAGCGCAGCATTATGAAGTTGTCTGCAGCCACTGCAGCACAAGTTCAATCCCCAGCCAGGGAGGTGACTCACATGGTGTGGCAGACCTCTTCCTCTTGCTTGCTGCTCCCCTGAGCAGGGAAATAGACTTCCCGCACTCTGGCCTACACCCCAGTTCTTGTATGCATAAACAAATAAAAAGTAATTTAAAAAATATATTAAGTTTCCAAACTAAAAGATAAAGGTTATCATTGAAATCTTTCTTCAATTAAATCCAATCCATTTATGTGGAAAAATCAAGTCTGACAATGTCCCTAAATGTCAGGAAAATATCAGTCATGATATACTTGTGCATCTCAAAGTGAAAATATGGTTTACTTAAGTATCCTAATCAAAGAATTCTTATGTTCATTCACTCAACTGTTGGAGCAGTCACAACTTCATCAGAAATGTCTTACTGTTGCTGCAAAAATCTTAGAAGAATAAAAAGTTGCTGTCAAGTCCTTTAAAAATATGACGCCAATTCACAAATTATAAGGTCAGGCTGATGATCTTGCCAATGTTTGTATTATTCACTTCTCAATATATTTTTATTTCATAATTTTTTAAATAAGGAAAGTAATTTAAGATACTAGTCATTTTCCATAATAAGAATAATGAACAGCATATACCAGAGACATTTTGTGGGGGTGGAATGGGGAATGGGATCAAAAACGGGGGGTGGGGGTGAGGAGGGTAGTGCACGGGATTATGGTGATGGCACACAGGTGACTTGGTGATGGGAAACCCGTGGGGATTACAATTGAGATGAAAAAAAAAGTGTACAAAATGACGTAAAAAGTTAATGTATATTTTTTATCATTTCTGATTAATACAGTACATATAAGCAATATTAAAATAGATTTATGATGGTGAAAGTAGTGTTAGTGATTTAAACAAAAATGATTAATCACTGTAAATATTTTAAACTTCTCCTATGTATATGTGCATTTGAAAACACCATGTGGTTTGTTAAACCATTTACAAATAAATAGTTGAAACTTAAAAGAACTGTAAACTGCACATTTCTGTGAAAAAAAAAGATATTTGTTATTTTCCCAAATTACTTTAATCTCTGGATATGTAAAATGTTATGAATACTTATTCTCAAGAAATCACCAAGCAGCAGTAAGAAAGTTTAAAACAATTGAAAATCCAATCCATAAGCTGCTTAATATTTAAAGGACATATAGTTCATCTCCTCATGATGCCTCTTACTATGAAATCAAAATTAGAGGCAACATCAAATATTTCAAATTTTAAGTTGTAAAAGTCTTTACAAGTTTGTTTGTTTTTCTTTTTCTTTAATGTCTGTGAAAGAATTAAGACAAGTGAACTTTTCCTCCCAGGCCATTACACATAAAAAAGTGAAACCACTATCAACAGTTTCTTCACTATTCTCCCAGAATTACAACATTAACAATATCCATGTATCTACCTATACTCAAAAGAGATTATATATATACTTTCTGTACCTTTTTTCCAAAGATTAATCTCCAACTGATCAAGATTTTTTCCCCATCTTTATACTGTTATATCAATACTGCAGTTATCTATTTCTGTAAATATACCTATTAGATGAATTCCTACAGGTTGAGATGCTGGATAAATAAGTACATACGACACCTCTGCCACCTCCACACACAGAGAAACAAATAAACCAAAGTGAACTGTTTTCAACTTACCTGCAATAAAATTCTATGTTCTATGTCTGTTTCCTCGTCCCGAACTGCTCCCCTCCATTTTATTGTTATCACTGATAATCCAAATCCTGATGGATCATTTTTTTAATATTTACCTCAAATACCACCCACTACCCCAAGCCAAATAGGCTGTCTTCTCTAACTTCTAACTTTTCCTATTATCATAATCTTAACACATCAGTATGAATCACAGATTTACTTAGTCTATGAGAACATATCTTAATCAAGTAAACATTAAGTAGAGGCTATATAATAATGAACAAAAATCAACAACAAAAGCAATCAACCAGATTAATGAAAAAGGGCTTGAATAAAAGTCCTTTAAAGGAAGATATACACATGGAAAATAAGCACATGAAAGATGTTCTGAACACCATTAGTTATTAGGAAAATTTATGCAAAACTCACAATGAGCTATCATGTCACATCTATTAGATGGCTATTATAAATAAACCAACAAAACAGAAGACAAAGGTTAATGAAGATATGGAGAAATTACTGGTGGGAATGTGAATTGGTAGAGCTGCTATGGAAAACATTCAGTAATTCTTCAAAAATGTAAACACAGAATGATAGCAATTCGACTTTTGGGTATGTACCCAAGGGCTTAAAAGCAGAGTTTCACATAGATGTAAAACAGCTATTTCATATTTCCACTTTTCCCAAAGTGGAAACAACCCAGATGTCTTCCAATAAATGAAAGGAAAAACAAAATGTGACGTATATCTACAATGAAATATTATTCAGCCATAAAAAGACATTCTGCTAACTGAAATAAGGAAGACACAAAAGGATAAATATTGCATGATTCCATTTATGTAAGGCCTATAAAGACAGAAAGAAGTGACTGCAGGAGATGGGGGAGGAGGGAAAAGAAAACTACTGCCTAAATGGGTGGTTTCAACATGGGACAATAAAAATTTCTCGAGGTAGACAGTAGTAATGGTTGCACCAAATGTGAGAGGACTTAAAACCACTAAACTGTACACCTAAAACTGGTTATAATGATAAATTTTAAGTATGTTTTACCACAATTAAAAAATTAAACATAAGGAATGAAACAAATACATATGTTAACAAATAAAAAATATGAGTGGATCAATAAGAAGATGCTTGCCCTTCCAGTGATAAGAAAATAAAAATTAAAAACCAAGTATCATTGTATCCCTATTAAATTGACCAAAAATGTAAATACTGATAAGATACAGTGTTTGCCAAGAGTTTGGATATTCACAAGTGATAAATTTTTAAAACAATATTTAAAGGCAAAAGGGCAGAATATATCAATATTTAAAATTGACATTCACATTGAACTGACTATAGCCACAGTCATACAAGTGCACAAAAAAATAGGCATAATGAGTTTAAGCGTGAAAAACTAGCAACAACCTAAATATCCCTTAGCATTGGAATGGGTGAATAATTACAGTACCCCATCCCTACTCTAGAACAGTCATTACAAAAATAAGGTATATCTAAATTGACTGACATAAAAATGATCATGAAATGCTGACAAATATTCATACATATCAAAACAGTATGCATTAAAACCCATTTACCAAAAAAAAATTAAAACATGAAAATGCATGTACATATAACTCACAATCAGAAAACTATGTAAAGCAATGTACTTCCTATTTCCCACGTCTTCCTACTTGGTTGTCCCATAATTGTCCTGACTTATAATATTTACTTTGTCTAATCTGTACAATGTGGTTTGTGCTGAACACCTGCTTTCTGCTCAGAGTTTGAAATTTTGGTACTAGTCAGAGGGTGCCTATATGAACACACACCAATTAAAACCTCTAAGAACTCTTCTAATAAATTTACCTTGGGGACAACATTGCACATGTTTTGTCACATATTGTTGCTAAGTGAATTATGTGTTGTGACTCCGATCTCCCATTTTTCGTTTTGCTTTACATGCTGTCTTCAAAATATGTCACACAATTAGGTACAATTATATGCCCTGTGTGTCTGCCTCACAAATTATCAAACCTGGGATTAGCACTGAGGCCCTCCCAAGGCAATACTAAGAGAAATCTGAATAAAATGTATACCTACCATCTTACTAGGCAATGTGCTCTTGGAGGAAAGTCATTGTTCATGCACAGCAAATCTTGCATAGATTGTGGAATAGCATCTACAAAAACATTTGATATGAAAGAGTTACTATGTTCATTCATTCTAAGGAACAATTTTACATGACTTAGAGAAATCATTTTATATATTATCTTGCTAGTCCACATAATTTTCAACTGCTTCTGAAAGATTTATATTTAGAGTTAGCTCTAAGATTTGGGGGAAGAACGGTGGCTATTCACTTAACTTTTTTTTTCTTTTAAAGATTTTATTTATTTATGCATACAGAAATGGGGTACAAGCTAGAGGTGCAGGGGCAGAGAGAAAATTCACCAGAGACACAGTGGAGAGCAGAACAGGCAGATTGACAAAGTACACTGCTAAGGGGAGCAGCAGGTGAGACAGGAGAGAGGTCTGCCATGTGATTTATCTCTGGGGCAGGGATCGAACCTGCACTGCAGAGGCCAGGGCTTCTTGGCTTAGCTTCACTGTGCAGGGCTCCAACTCACTGCGTCATAAGCGAGGGCTGATGCAGTCTTTTTTTTTTTAATATAATAGTTTATTTTTACATTATTTTGTACTTTTTTTTTTCATCTCAGTTGTAATTCCCATGGGTTTCCCATCACTGAGTCACCCAGGTGCCATCACTTTTCTCCCCCTCCCCTTTTCTCTTAACTCTTAAAAAAAAAAAAAGCCAGTCTAGTAAAAAATATATACACACGTATAACTCATTCCTACATTTAGAATATTTTCCTTTTTTCTAAGTCACAACTCAACTCCTCATTCTTGCTAGAAATCTTGTTTTAAATCTGTTTTTCTTGGCCTTCATTTACCTCTAATTTTACTCAAAATTCTACTTAGAATATCACCTTGGAGGTGATGTAGATACATTTCACTGGACCTCTGACCACCTTATATGGCTTTGTATAACCAATAACCCATGTATCTGCGACCAGTTGCATTCTTATTCATAGTAAAATACTAATAGCAGTGACTGTTATTTATACAAAAAAATGTGTAATAAATTTAAAGCATAAAAGATAATACTTGCTAATAAAAATATTCCTATTACTGTATACTTGCAACTGCTTACAATCACAATCACACTGATACTGTACAGCACATATGCATATGACCTTTCCTCAAATTAATAGCATTTAAATTATTTTATAACTTGAATAACATTTAAATATTTTATACCTTGAATAGTTTCTTGAATTGACCATAATATTAAACCTAGAAATCCCTGGGCTGTTTCATACTTCTCATCAGTTGCACACATTGTCCTTCTCCACTTATTCTTTAAGTACACATATTCATATTCAGGTTCTGTTATTTTATTTTGCTGTATACTTGTGTCCATGGTCTATCTTATCTTACCTGTGCTCATTTATTAATATAAATGAGGATCCTATGTTTATAAGAAGACTATAGATGGATCTCCCTGGTGTTGGAAGGGGTTAAGTCTTACCACTATGAAGCTATACACAGACATTGTAGCATGAGTTCAATCCCTGGCCAGGGAGCTATCCACAGGTGTAGCAGACCTCTCCTGTCTCACCCACTGCTCCTCTCAGCAGTGTATTTCAGTACAGCTGCATGTTCTGCTCACCACTCTGTCCTTGGTGAATGCTCTCATCCCCCGTACATCTAGCCTGTACCCCCATTCTTGTATGCATAAATCTTTTTTCTTAAAAAAAAAAAAAAAGAATACAATATATGCTAGAAAGGGTGATATAATTCCATTCAATATTTCAGGCCTATGCTTATAAGTGATTTGTTTTAAACAAAAAAGCTTTAACACACAATACGCACATTTATATTCTGAATAAATGAAGAAAAGCATCTTACCTATAACTCAAATATTCATAATTCTTCAATAACTTGCTCACATACTGTTACATAGTAGTGTATCTCAGGACAAAAGTTTGAATGATTTGACCTATTAATTTTTATAAACACCATTTACTGAGTACCTAACATAGGCAAGATACTGAAGTACTCAAGTACAATATCTCATTAAATCTGCACAGTAAGCCTACAAGTAGCATTATTTCATTTTTACAAATGAGATAATTCAAACTCAAAAGGTCAAGTAACTAGCAAGGACAAATAATATTTAGATATTATTTTTAATTCTTCAAAATCTAACCACTTCTTAATTACCCAAAACCCTTTCTCTGATCTCTCCCCATTAAAAATAACCTTATCTCCTTTGTCCTCCAACAGAATTTTGGTTTGGGGGGTGGTATTTGTTACTTTCTACTTTCTAGTACCATTACTGCTTTTAAATCTTATTGTCATACTGGAATGTAAGCTTCTTAATTTATAAGTGGGCTTGTAAGTCAAGTGGACTTGTGAGTTAAGTGGCCTTAATAGAACACTTACCAAATGTTCATTTAAAATAAATATTTAATAAATGTTAGGTGATTTATTTAATTTTAAAACAAATGATACTATGCTACTGCCTCTGAAAATATACTATACTTTTAGATGTGGCAAAACTTTACATAAGCAAAACATATTCAGATAATATAATTTAAAAGGACTAACTTTGAAATTCAAAATTATATTAAATTCAAGTTTAGGGCCCTCCCTGGTGGTGCAGTGGGTTAAAGCACAACATTGAAAGCAAGCTGCAGCCACTTCAATGCGAGTTCGATCCACAGCCACTTCAATGTGAGTTCGATCCCCAGCCTCAGAGGTGACCACAGGCGAGGGAGACCTCTCCTGGCCTGCTTGCTGCTCCCCTCAGCAATGTACTTCATTGATCTGCCTATTTTGCCCACAACTCTTGTCTCTGGTGAATCCTCTCACCACCCATGCATCTCTGGCCGTACCACAGCTCCATATGAATAAACAAATATTTAAAAAAGAAAAAACTTATCTTTATAAAACAAACAAAAATTCAAGTTTAAATATATGTAGAGGGAGGCCCTCCCTGGTGGCATAGCAGGTTAAAGTGCAGCAGTAAGAAGCTAAAACCACTTCAGCATGAATTCGATCCCCACCCTGGAGGTGATCCACATGGCATGGCATACTGCTCCTGACCCACCCGCTACTGCCCTCAGCAGTGTACTTGTCCATCTGCCTGTTCTGCTTCCCGCTCTCTAGTGAATCCTCTCACTGCCCCTGCACCTCTGGCCTGTACCCCAGTTCTGTATGCATAGTAGTGGGCCCTCCCTGGTGGTACAACACTATAGAGCTATCCACAGCCACTGCAGCACAAGTTCAATCCAGGCCTGGGAGATGACACACATGGAGTGGCAGACCTCTCCTGATCTACCTGCTGCTCCCCTTAGCAATTTTTTTCAATCAGTCAACCTGTTCCTCTCCCTACTCTGTGTCTGGCAAATCCTCTCATCCCTGGCACCTCTGGCCTGTACTCCAGTTTTTGTATGCATGAAAAAATAAATCTTAAAAAAAAATGTAGAAAAAAACTTACCTTCTAGTAATTCATCCTTTCCTTCTTTATCAGTGGAGTCTTGTACAAGATAGTGATGAGTGACTGAGAACTTGAAGTCAGCAAAGAAAATTTCATCTGATTTCTCTTCCCATGTGCCAGAAGTAAATATACCCTGCATTTAACAAAAGAGAAAAAGTTCATCTTAAGATACTTAATGGCTATGCTTGTTTACTAGCCAGAAAGATTTTTCCTTTTCTGCTCATTAGTCTAAAAGTTTCACTCTACACTCTAAATATGGTAGGGGGTGGGGTGGACGGGACCAAGTCTCAGTGCTTTCACCAAATAATGAAAGAGAAAGGAAAAATATACAAGTGAATATACCCAGGAGGATGATGTTTTTTATACATCATTTCACAGTACTCCTTTAAAAAGAAATATCCTGAATTAGACCAAGAAGGGTGCAGAGTTGCTTTCTATGCCTTTACTGAATCTTCATGGGAAGACAATCTAAAAGCTAACTAACTAGACCAGTACTATACCCAGAGAGTCCCATGACTGAGGCAAAACCAGGACACTTATAGACAACAGAGGCAAGCACAAAGTGCACCAGAAGGAGCATAAGGAAATGCATGGTGATAGGAGACATCCCCTCCCCCTTCCCTGACCTTGACTCAACTACTTCAAGATATGGAAAACAGCAAAGGCCAAAAATACTAAATGTCACATATAACCATGGTACCACCTCTGGGGAAGTTGAAGCAATACTAATATCTAAGTTACAACTACAGCTGCTTTTAAAAAATAGAAAAATTTAAAACAGCAAAGTAGGCAACCAATAAAAAAATATATATAACCCATGGAACCTTGGTACTTTGGGGGAAATATGTCATCACAGGAGAGAACAAGTCTCCAGAATAAAACTACAAAGACATGTCAGTTTTTACCTTCCTACCAGATACATTGTTAAAGTTTTCTTAATAAAGAAATTCAGAGAGATGTAAGGAAATACAAAAATCAAGTCAAACTGATATAAGACAACTCTGAGGGCTCTCCCTGGTGGCACAACAAGTTAAAGCACACCAATGCAAGCTAGCCATAGCCGCTTTGGCATGGGTTCCATCCCCAACCCCCAGGGTAATCCACATGGTGTGGCGGACTTCTCCCGACCCGCCCACTGCTTCCCTTAGCAGTGTACTTTATCAGTCTGCCTGTTCTGCTCCCCATTCTGTCTCTGGTGAATCCTCTCACCACTCCTACACCTCTGGCCTGTACCCCAGTTCTGTATGAATAAATAAATCTTTAAAAAAAAACTCTGAAAAACTTCAGATACAACAAATTCAGGGAAAAAATGACATCAGAAATATAATTACTGAACAGTACACCAAAAAAAAATTTAATGTAAAAACATCATCAGAAGAGATTTTTAGATTATGAAGAAAACTATGGAGAAAGAATATATCAGACAGAGGATGGGATCCATGACTTAAAAGATAATAATGCACAAAGGGCAGGGTGAAATAAGGAGAAATATGAAGGAAAAAATGAATAAACATTTTGAGAAGTATTCAACTCCACTGAGGAAGGTAATAGAATAGGTATACCAAAAGGAGAAGAGGAGAAAAAGAACCAAAGAACTTATTTAAAGAAATTATATGAAAAATTTTTAAACCTGGGGGAAGAGCTCAATATATGAGTCCATGAAACGAAAAGAATACCTAGCTGTATAAATGTAATGAAACCAACACAAAGACATGTAATAATGAATCTAACCAAGAGGTCAAGACATTTAATGAATACGGCAGTTGGCTGTCGGAAAACACAGGTAACCTATATAGGTACTCCCATCAAGCTTATAACAGACTAGCCTGAGCAAACTACAATAAGGAGAGAATTGAATGATATATTCAACAATTAATGATAAAAATGGCAAGCCAAAAAAATTATATTCTGCAAGGCTTTCATTCAGGAGAAATAAATGCCTTTCTAGACAAACAGCAGGTAGTTTGCTAATACAAGATCTTCCTTACAAAAAAAATGTTCAAAGGAGCTATCCAATCTAAATTGGAAAAGGGGGGAAAAATTGGAAAATAGAGCCAGGAAGTCAAACAAAATGTCAGAAGCAAATGGCCATATATCAGTAATTACCCTAAACATAAATGGACTGACATCACCAATCAAAAAGCAAAGAGTGGTTGGTTGTATCACAAAACAGTAACCAAATTTCTCCAAAAGTCCAGGTGGCCATCAAAGATAAACACAGACTCAAAGTAAATGGTGGGAGAAAAAAATCTTACAAGCAAATAGAAAATTAAAAATAGTAGGTGCAGCTATATTTGTATCTCATAAAAAATTTCCACTAAAGAAGGTAACAAGGATGGACATTATATAATGATTAATGGATCAACACATCAAGAAGACATAGCAATCATCAGCATGTATGTACCAAGTGAAGGAGCATCAAAATACACAAGGCAACTTTAACATATTTGGAAACAAACATTGATATCAACACAATAGTAGGAGGAGACTTTAATACACCTTCCTAAATGGACAGATCAGACAAATCAACAAGGAAGCAATAGCTTTAAATGAGTTTTCAAACAAATGGTTTAATAGACATTTCTAAGTAACTGCATCACAAAAAGGCTGAATCACATTCTTCTTAAGTGCACAGGGACACTGTTCTTATGTACACATTGGCTCAAAAAGAAGTACCAATAAATTCATGAACCATGACATGCCAAGGACCTTCACTGATCACAATGGTATAAAATTAGAAATCAACCCAAAAAGTAAGTAGGAAAAACTTCTAACATGAAGAGACTGAACCATTATTGAGTTAATGAGAATAAAAAACTCTTGGAGACAAATGAAGAGTAAATTCAAGCTACCAGCACATCTGCAATGGAGCAAAAGCAGTACTACGAGAACAGTACTGATTTAAGTAACATGAGATCACAACACCAGTAGCAAAACCTCTATGAATTACTTCTAAGAGAAAAATCAGTAAATTTTATAAAGCTTAGAAACTGGAAAAAGCACATGGCAATAAGATATACTTTTATTATGAGTCTAATATTACTCCGTAGTATGTTGACTAACAGGCATCAGAAATTACTTGTTAACAAGTGGTTTGTAGTACCAACTTAAGTAACATGATACTTATAGCACTTGTTTAACTTGTTTAATGTTCCATAAGTTTCTTTATCAAGGTTTATCATTCAAATATTTTCATTTAAACAACTATTTCTTTATTGAAAAGCATTAATTACCATTCCAAAGAGCCTCTTTACATATCTACATATATATACACACATACATATATATTATCAGTTAAAGGAATTTTCCCACAGGGCCTCTAAGGTCCCATAGGTATTCTTCCCATTGGATAGATATATCGTCTTTATAGTACTGTGCCACTATGAGGCAGGAATTCCAGAAATGTGCATATTTATTATTAAAGGGTGAAATGACAAGTCTAATTCAAAATTAATCTAGTGATTTATTAAAAATAGTCTCTAAGAACCCCAACCAAAAAGAAGCACTTAGAATGGACAGAAAGTAACCTGATTATCTATAGAATACCCAAAGGAGTATATAAGCTACTAAAACTAACTCATGTGCTTACCAACTTGTGGAATTCAAGGTGAATGTTAAAAAAAAAAATCAGTATTTTTATTACTAGCAGAAAACACAATGAAAAAATTATTTTTAAGATTTATTTATTTATGCATACAGAACTGGGGTGCAGTCTAGAGGTATAAGGGTGGTAAGAGGAATCACCAGAGACAGAGTGTGTGGAGCAGAACAGGCAGATTGACTAAGTTACACTGCTGAGGGGAGCAGTGCGTGGGTCAGGAGAGGTCTGCCGCAACATGTGGGTCACCTCCGGGGCGGGGGATTGAACTCAGACTGAGGTGGCTGCGGTCAGCTTGCAGTGCTGTGTCCTAACCCGGTACACCACCAGGGAGGGCCCAAAGAATGCAATTTTAAAAATTAGCACTTTTGGGCCTTCCCTGGTGACGCAGCAGGTTAAAGCAGAGGACTAAGGAGCTTCAGCATGAGTTGAACCCTGCCCCAAAGTTAAACTAAATGGCTCACTACAAGCATCTCTAAAAGGGCCATTTACATATACTAGTAGAAATACAAAATATATAGATTTGACCCCACCTATTTCCAGTTTTATCACCCACAGATACCTCCATCTAGCCTACTATTCATCTACTTTACAATTAGTATCATACTCCCAACTTGTATTTCTCCAGAGGTGTGTTCATCATGCAATCCTCCACTTTATTTCCCTAAGCATACTTTTACTTATTCATTCTTCAAAACTCCACCTAAATGTTATTTTCTGTAGCAAATCTGCCTATCTAAGCAACGTAAGGCTTTCTTAGGGTCTTTTTCAAATCAATAGAATGGCATTTCTTATTCTAATTTTATATACCAGTGATATTTCTCCATTAACTATAAGAACAAAAAATATATTTTATTCTTTTAGCCCAGAATTTAAGACTTTTTACATAATTAATAGGTGTCCCAGGAATTACCTTTTTCCCAGCATTTAGAATAGCTCTGATCTACCCAAATATGCTAGAATATACCAGTATATTGTTCAAATATCTTACATCTATTTGGATAACATATACAATGTGATCTAGTCTAATAACTTTAAATAGCATGCAACATAACAAAAATAGTAGTACTTTTTCTAACTTTAACTGATATATGTATATCACGGTTTGAGTTCCCTAAGTCCTAAGAAAATACTAAATGCTGGAAGGTGGGGGGATCTTTCCTTAGAAGAGTAAGTACTAAGCAATAGAGAAGTATAAACTTAAAATAATAGGGTTGTGAGGTCTTTTTTGCATGAAATCTACAAGTCACAAAGGAATATAAACTTATTTTGTGTTGCATAAAAATGTAATCCCAAATATACTCAAAAATCAACATAAGAGTTGAAACCAGAAATCTCTTTAAGGATAACATACAGTAAAAGAGTCATGATGCTGTAACTGGCAACTATTTCTAGAACATAACACCAAAAACACAAGCAACAAAAGAAAAAAATAGGCTGGATTTAATAAAATAAAAAGTTTTCTACGTCAAAGTACACTATCCATAGATTGAAAAAGTAAACCACAGGAAAGTACTTGCAAATACTGAATAAGG